TCAAAAATTTATCAAAATTTATTTATAAATTTACACTTTCTTTAACCATAAAAAAATGAAAACTTATAATTTCTCCTTTCATTTTCATTTGGATTTGTAGCGGATAATCTTATGAGTCACATATTTGAAGCTTGCAGTACTTCTTAAGAGCTCGTTTTCACTTCAACCAACCTCAGTTTGCCGAGCTAATGCTGATTGTTGCAGTTGCAATGGCCATTTCGCAGGTACATTTTTGTCGATAAGTTTTTCATTCGCTTATTTAATCTAATAACATGAGTTATTATGTGAAGTTTATTTTGAATTTTCGTATTTGTGCAGCTGCTTTTGATGCCTGCCCTGGTATCTGTTATATCAGAGGAGAAATTGCTTTCACTCGGGCTCTTCATGAGCTTTATGCATGTGGGTGCACACATATCTTACCACACATGAATATCAGCAGTTTATATGGATTTGAAATTTCTGATTTTGTAAAACCTTGCCTTATATCTTACAGGTTTTATCAAGCAGCATAGCTTGGGCAGTCTGGGTAATTCCTTTGCTTCGATAAATTTATTTTCTCACATATTAATTCAACTCTTAAAATGATTCTTATTTTAAGTAAATAATTAGAAATTCTAGGAGGACAAATGAGCGTGTTTTTTTTTTTTTTTTTAAATTTATGTTAAAAATTATAATTTTTTTAAATATCAATTGAATTTATAAAATTTATTAATTCATCTATACTTTTAAAATATTTAATAATTTTTTTTTATTTTTAATTATCGAGATTTAAAAGGATTAGATTAAGACAGTATTGATTATATCTGTTCCTTACAACGCAAATTTTAATCCTTTTAAGTGAGGGATTGTTTTTATTGTCTGTAATTCATACTTTGAATGTGTAGGTTCCTTACGCCTCCAATATCTTATTTGCTGTTTTCGTAGGTTTGGTATCTCCATGTGTAAGTTGTTTACTTGTATCTCCTGTAAAACTCATATATATATTTGCTGTTGATAAAATTTTATCCAATTTGTATAGATACGCAGCATTGCATCAAAACAAGTTTCACCCAGTTCACAGGTATGTATATACATACATTCCTTCTATCCCCGTAAAACTCACATACATACATACATACATACATCTAAATACATATAATCTACATATTTGTTCTCTTATTATTATTTCTAGTGATTAAATCTTAGATGTTTTCCTACCTGGTAACAATTTCACTTCGATGAAATTAAACCCCTGTCAGGGCATGGCTCAAGGATGCATGTCAGGCATAGAGTCCTTCGCACAAATTCTTTCACCGTTAATTTTCAGTCCTCTTACAGGTATATCTATATATATATATACGCCGACATTGGGCTTCTCTTATATCTGTTTTTATGCAGCCTTGTTCCTCTCCGAAAACGCACCGTTTTATTTCCCAGGCTTCAGTCTTACGTGCATGTCACTCACCCTGGTATTTATAATGTTTGAGACTGAGCAATAATATTTTAAAATTAAATTATTATTACTATGTGATTTAAATGTAATTAATATAATTTTAAGAGAGCTAACAAAATTGAAAACAAATTTGTGCAGATGGTTGCATTTATTCAAAGTCTTTTTATAAAGGTCGCTCCTCCTGTTGAAGCGTAGCCACTACAAGATTGTCAAACCCTCCCATGTACACACATAGAAAAATAATTTTCTTTAATTATATATGTCTTTTTAACTCCTCAAAAACTTATTTTTCTTACATAATTACTAAATAACAAGATAAAATAAAATAATGTACTTAGAATAAAACATGACAAAATAACATTTTATTCTGCAAGTAAATCACATATATACATTATCTTAACTAGTAATGTTGATTTTACTTTATGGTCATGGTCAAGACCTTATGTTTTTGTGAGAGAAAATATTAAAACTTTTGTCATTTATATATATATATATATATATATAAAATCTGCAAATATAATGAACAACGTGACAAAAACAACTTTGAAAAAAATTCTAATAAGTATTAACTCCAAATAATTTAAAATAATAAATCCACATAACTTTATCCAACCTAATTCATATATACTTATACCTATTTATATTTTTGCTTAAGAAAATACTAAAATCTTTTCATTCATAATTTCTTTAAATTTGTAAACAGAATGAGCAACGATATCAGAAAACATGCGTTTCCATTTTCAATCATTCGCGATTTTCTTGTCCGCTAATATCTTGTCACTTTATTTTCGTTGTTGACTTTCACTTATCAATATATTTCTAATAAAAATAAATAAATCTGTATATATATTGTAATATATGAACTGGAGATTTAGTCCGATATTAATTTTTTTTTAAAAATAAAAATAAAAATAAAAATGTAAAAATATAATTTATAAATTTTTATTTAATAAAAATTAAGAAACAATAAGTGGTAGGTTAAATTGAAAATAATATTTAAAAAAATATGTGAAAATTTAGATTATGGGATATTTTAAAAAAAAAATCGAAAACTAGGGATCAAAATATAATTAAAAAAAAATTGCACCACGAAAGACCGCCCAGTCAGTAGCCTCAACGAACCAGAGCGCGTCGCGTACCAATGCACGTTAATTCAGTGCCACACAGAAGGCCACGCTGGTAATTCGCGTGCCCGCAGTCAGACAGTCCGGATGCGTTCCCGCACTCGTTGACGGTCCGGATTTGTTCCTTCCTCAGGTGCGATCGGAGGGTCACGATTAAACGCAATGAACGATCCAGATTTGTTTCTTCTTTAAACGTGATTGTATGGTCCAGATCAAATCGCAATGAATGGTATAGATTCATTTCTTCTTTAAACGCGATCGGACGGTCGAGATCAAACACGATG